TTCTATCTACGTTGTTAAATATGTGTTTAAGCCCGTCTGGACGAAGTGTAATATATATATATATATATATATATATATATATATATATATATATATGTTTGTGTGTATGCACATATACTATATATATATATATATATATATATATATATATATATATAAGACAAAAATATAGTTTTAATGTATGCCATGTTTATGTGTTAAAGTGCTCAATATATCAGGGATAGAGCGTACGTAAATATAAAAGTGGACATTGATGTCAGCACCTAGAGGCGATAGTTTGCTTCATGCTAAACCCAGCCATCAGGCCATACGCCTTGCGATATTGCTTGAATATTTATGTATACAGGTCAGTGTTGCGTTGTGGGTATGCTATTTAATTGCATTGTGGGTAATTTATTGCATTATTCTAACGGTTATTGTGTGTGTGGAAACAGTTATGTTTCAAATTATTCTAGGGTTATTGAGTAGAAATAATTATGCTTTATGCAGTTTTGTAGCAATTTTATAGTGTTGTTTGTTAAATTATTTACTTACTATTTAATACTCTTTACCTTGTCTTTATACCTGGGCCACGACCGTCCAAGAGTCATTTGCCCACTGTGAAGCTGGCTATACATGAGGACCTTATGTATTCTCTCTTCACTCATCCTAGCAACATGACCAGCCCAGCGAAGCGGCAACGGTAGCAGGAAAGTCTCAATTCCACCAATGATGCATTTTGTGAGAGCTATCAGCACTGGACACACTATCGCCGAAAGTACAGCCATGGAACGCGCGGAGTCAACTTTTGTGGAAAACATTAAGTTGATTGATACGGAACCTATATGGGTTTCACGAATCTGAGTCGGACATCAGTATAGTCGAAACGTCTTCTCTTTAAATCCATATTCTGTTTCAATTTTGTGTCCAATTATATATATATATATATATATATATATATATATATATATATATATATATAAGTGAAAGTGAATATTGATGTCAGCACTCAGAGGCGACTGACTGTTTCATGCTAAACGCAATCATCAGGCTACATGCATTGTGTTTTTCTCGACGAGAAAAGATTCGACAAATAACATAACGCACGTGGCCTGATGATTGCGTTTAGTTTGAAACAGTCGGTCGCCTCTGAGTGTTGACTTCAATGTTTACGTTTATATTTACATACGCTCTGTCTATCACATACTTTAAACGTTCGCATTCTGAACATGAGGCCCGGGTTCGAATCTCAACATGGTCCATTTGTCAGGAAGGAAACTTCCTGATGTTATCGAACTGGATAGGGTCGATCCCAGCGCGCGGTACATTTGAAAATTGCCTGAAAGCCATACCACCGATTGACCCAAGCCTTGTGAGTGAAATTGGGCAGACACACCCTTGGGGAGCCGTCGATGGTTGTGCCAGCACGAAATCACAAGTCGTTGGGACCGAGGGTTTCAGTGTGCTGCCCTTGTTCACACTGTTGATAACGCTGGATAACACGCTCTTTCCCAGAAACTGTAACTAAGGTCTGCTTATCATAGTTATAGTATAAGCCACAGGTTGACTCTGTGGGTATTGAAAAATATGCCTGAGCAGGCGTGTCATCAACTAGTATATGAGGAAATAGAAAAAGGTTTTGGGTTGCCCGTTTTGTCGTTTAGGAGTTCATCGAACTAGGGTTGTTAATGTTCAAGTTCTCCAATAACTCTTCTATTTCATATCCGATGCAAAACGAAAGGTTCATAAAATATACCAAAATTGACCCTTCCTGACATGACTAACGAATCAAAAAAATATATTGTTCTACCCACTAACTCTATCACTACTACAATTGAAAAGAATTTATCTAAACTCAACTTAAAATTTGTCACAACTACATCTAAAACAATACAAAATAAAACAAAAAGCCCAAATTTGAAAGAGGAATTTACTCTATCACCCACAAGGATTGGTCAGTTCAAGAAAGATACTTGGGTCACGATTCCAATGGAATAAATTATAACCATGGAATATTAGTGTTTAAGCCTTTTTATTATATTCTTACTCTGTCATGGACATTGAGTTCTACCTGGACTCTATCCTGTTGGAATTTTATATATATATATGTTATAGTGGAACACACCTATTCTATAGTTAATAGACTCTCCCACCTATAATGAGTAGGAGTTGTAATAGTAACGAGTCAGTAGCTGAGTGAGTTGGTCAGTCAGTCGATGTCGGACGACCGTTAGTCGGATACTAAAGTATCAGCGATCACCACTAGATTTCTCTGCGTCATTACCTAATATATCAAGTTCTTAACGAACAAGGAATAGAAGAGATCGTAAAACGACAAACATTGCTAAGCGCTACAAATTATAGGAAGTTGCGGAGAGCCATGATCTCCTACGTATCAATTTGTGTAAATCGATAACAGAATAGGCAATGAGAGAGACAGTAAAATAGACCTTATATCTAAGGAATACAAAGGATAGGAAATTGTGGAGAGCCTTTACCATCCTTGTCCTGAAGTGAGAAGGCACATAGAAAAAGAACCGCAGCATAGGGTTTGTTATAGGCAACGATGTGCGTTCAATCCCTGTGTTTTGATTTTTATTTCTGTTTTTTGTTAGTTTGACCTTCAGTTCTGATTGATGATGTATTTTATTAATTCATTGTAATGATCTTTCCAATTTCCTTTCATTCCTTTTTCATTAATGGGGAAATCATGTTGAATCCACCGGTCCTTTTCGATCCCCGATATGACACAACGTTCGGTCTGGCTGCTGCGCGGATCTGTTACGAATTTCTTTTCCGATCAGGAAACACAAAAATGCGTAAAGCCATCAAAGATGAAAGGACATAATATAGACAATTGTTTCTTAAAAGCACTTATTAATTTAGGAAACATTTACAAACCAATACCAATACAAAATTCGAAATCCACTCACGATGTGGACTCACTGAATGAGGTCCGTGAAGTGAATTTAAGAGGAGGCGGTAGGGAGTGAAGATTATGACTATTAGAAGGATAGATTGATTATAGATTTTTAAGGTTCTTCCCATTAATACACACTGCCCCCACGAAAAAAAAAATTGGAACGGTCGGCATTGGTGTGTTAAGGATGTCTATTTGATCCTTCATCACGCGATTGATGTCTCCATGCTACCTAACACAGGGATTGAACTCACACCGTTACCTATAACAAGCCCTACTCTACGTAGTTACATTCTGACGTGTCACACGGATTTTGAAGGTTTTATATTTTTATGTAAATTCTTTTTCTATCTGCCGTCTCACTTCAGGACAAGGATGATAAGGGCTCTCCACAACTTCCATTTTTTACGATCTCTTCTATTCCTTGTTCGGCCATCGATTTACACAAGCTTGATGCGTAGGTGTTCATGGCTCTCCGCTACATCCTATTATTTGTAGCTCTTTGCAATGCTTGTCTTTGACCATATCTTCCCTTTCTTGATCGGCGATCGATTTACACAAGCACGATAAGCTCTCCACAAATTCGTATTCTTTGTAACTTTGTCTTTTTACGATCTCTTTCATTCCTTGTTCCGCCATCGATTTACACAAGCTTATTAGGTCGGCTGATCATGTCTCTCCACGACTTCCTATCCTTTGTAACTCTTATCTATGTGTGTTTTTTTTTACTATCTCTTCCATTAGCTTTTCTGTCACAAGCTTTTAGATAGGTCACTCGCTGCTTTCAATATATCCTGAGAGTGTCAAATTCTCCAAGCCCAGAAATTTCATATATTTCTAAGTATGAATTTCCTTTATTTAAATATACTAAACTTGTTTGGCTTAATTTATTCAACAGTTACCCAATAAAGAAAGATACACAAAATAAATGCCTTCTTTTTGTCAAAAGTTTTTGTTCTCCATCACTGACCATTTTTTTTATGCAATCTAAATGAAAAACTAGTCAGTCATAGTCCTAAAATAAAAATATTTTCTGCGCATTCCATTTCTTCAGTTGCACGCAGATATTTTGGTTCTGCACCGGCAATGAAAGGATTGACGGAAACATTACAGCAACGCCTCTAAAAGACATTTACCAGCACTTCCGTTCTAGAAAGCGTCCGAATGTAACAGAATCCTTGGGAAGGTTAGAGAAGGCAGATGTGAATAAAGGGACAGAAGAATCTACAATCAGATTCTTAATTTTGCAAACACAGCTTTCAAATGGATATTAACATTTTGGCTTTGGCCAAACTATTTTCCAATGCTTTGATTGATTGTAAACATTATTTTTTGTGGGAATGTAAAGTTCTAGAACTGATATTAAAGAAATCACGAATTGATCGGCAATACGGATAATTTCAAATTAAAAATCGCCGTCTCAAATTTCTCATGTGTGAGCTTTTTTCGGACTGAAGTTCACCAATACAAGACTCGAGATCCACTGATGTAGAGGGTGAGTGAAAGAAGAAGTAATAGGAAGCGAAGATTATCGGAACAAAGAAGATAGATAGCGATTAAGTATTGACTAGAAGAGCTTATATTATAATGTTCAAGACGAATCATTCATGACAAAATCGCGCCTGAATCGAACTTCTTTCTTAGATTTGAAATACGGGGGAAATGTATTTGATTCGACTACTTAGATGGAGCATGGTGTATGATAGCGTTTAATATCCGAACGAAAGAATACAAATCATCTGAAAATTAATAATGTACGATTTTTTTATGCTGTCGTTGACCCAATACTTGGCCCAAGAGTCACTCAAGTTACTAAATGACATTGTTTTACGGATGTAAGAGGAAGATATTAGAATTGTAGATTATGGGTGTAGGAAGGATAGACAATGGTCAATCATGGGTACACACTTTTTTTTTATAGGCAACTCGTTTCTAAGCTGCTCTCAAATTTAGCATTAGAACGGGTCAGTATAAAAGTTTTAGTCACAAAAAAAAAAGCGAAAACTGTTTTGTAAATTTAGTTTAACGCATCAAACACTAGTTAACCAATTAGTTAATATTGAACTTTCTTGCCAATTATAAACGGTTTACCGCAACATGACATTGAAATACTGGTTCCCGTACTTATACCGAAGTTAAGCAACGTCGAGCCTCGACAGTACCTAGATGGGTGACCGCTTGGGAATAGCAAGAGCTTGGGTGTGCTGGTGGTGTAATGTATAATGGCTCAGAATTAGTAAACGGTGAGCTGAGATCCAATTCCCGTTGGTTTCGTTATATTCGCTTACGCGTATCCACCTTTAATCCCCCCAGCTATGGGTTAATTAGTAAGACTTTTATCAAACCATTATTATCTGAAAAAAACATTCTTACAATTTAAAAATACTTTCTGGCTCTAAATAACCTACAAAAAATTGATAATTCATAGAAAACGAATCAATCGATTAATTAAATTATAAAACAGAGATAAATTTATATGGCTTAAAGAGAGACTCAGATTTGACTAAATCTGAAATAACTACAGAACTGATGAGAGAGTGGTTTCCGTAACCCCCCACTAACTTAAAATGAAAAGAAACAAAGAAAAAAACGTAAAACTTAAACAAAAGTTATTACACTATTTATATTCGGACTACTGTCCTCGTCTTTGTTGTCGTTATCACAACGTTTCGGCTGTTGTGCTCTCCGGCCATCCTCAGGTGTATACCGGTCTGGGTAACCAATAGGGAATTCTGAACTTAACCCTTTATTCAATTGACGTGGAAAGACTGTTGTCGTTCTACTGCTCAAGCCTAGGGATAGCGACTAGTTCATATTTTTTTAGTACAGTTCAGTTATTATTCAGCTGTTTCCACTGAGTATACGCTGCCCGGCATATACTAAATAAGGGATTCAGTTTAGAATTTCCTGCGTTGTCACCCATCTAGGTAATGAACAGTTTCGGCGTTGCTTAACTTTTGTGATTGTACGAGAACCGGAGTTTCAACAAGATATGGTCGGTGTTGATAGGAGACACAGAAAGAAAATTACAGGAATTTCTCGACAAGGAAGTAGAGAAAAGCGAGAAGAAAGGACTAACTATCAGTTGTCGGAAGACAGATTGTATTGTCGTTAAGAAGAGGGACAGGTCCTCATCTTTGTTGATTTTCTGCTGTTGTGCTCTCCGGCCTTCCTCGCGTGTATATCTGGGCAAGCGATAGGGAATTCTGAACTGAACCCTTTATTCAATCTACGTGAGTAGATTGTTCTCGTTCCACTGTTCATGTCTAGGGATATCATCTAGTTCTTATTTTTATTTCGTGCTGCTAAGTTTTTGCTCGCCCGTTTCCACCGAGTGCAAGCACACACTGCCCAACACAGGGATTGAACTCACTATGTCACCAAATCTACGGGGATGGACTGTTCTCATTTCACTGCTCATGTCTAGCGATATCGTCTAGTTCTTATTTTTATTTAGTGCTGTTAAGTTATTGCCCGCCCGTTTCCACCGAATGCAAATACACACTGCCCGACACACGGTTTGAACTCACAAACTTGAACCGAAGGACACAACGACCGAAACGTTGGGATAATAACAACAATGATAAGGACAATCGTCCGAATATAAATAGTGTAAATAATGAAAGCGCCTCATCCCATAAATTCAGACAAAAAAAATGAATCAAACAGTGATACGGAATACGTTGTACAGTGTAACCCGGATATAAGAGAAACCCGGATATAAGAGACTTCTTCTCCGGTCCCGACAACTCTCTTATATCCGGGTTACACTGTATCATAATTTATTCAAGAACTCAATCAATTCTACAAGTTCCACTTTTTTAAGCATATCACCCCAAGCAACGTGTGAGTGCCACTAGCACGCAAGGGGTTAAAGAAAATGAGAACAGGAATAAAGAGAATGTTGGAGGAAAGGATATAGAGAAGGACGGGGATCAGGATCAAGGCATCAGATGTCGACTGACATTACATTTGAATATTTGAAGATTATAGCTATCAGGGAAGCAAGTAAGAGGAAGGGAGTTCCACTGTCGGGAAGTGCGAGAGAAGAAGCTGTTGGAGCAGAAGAGGCGGTTACATTTAACCGTTTCAACAATGAAAGGGTAGGACTGAGATGCCAACCTAGTAGCACGCTAAAATTCATGCAGTTTGGAAACCAGTGAAAGTAGCTCGCCAGATCACTTGCCATGAAAATACTTGTAGAAAAGACAGAGGGAAACCACAGCACGTCTGCGAGAGAACTTATAAATTCCTCCTTGGAGGGATTTCTAACACAGGGTTATCATCTCTCAGTTGCGTCTCTGTCTTTGGGCAGAGTGCGGTCAGGGGCTTCTCTGTCAAAGGACAGAGGAGCAACTGAGAAAAATATACGGAGAGGTGCCAATCCTTGCAGAACAGCGCCCTCCCATTGCACCAGAGGGAGGGATTGGTGCTCGCACCGAGGCCAGCGCAACCGACTGATGGCAATTTTTCTGCTTGTCCCGGGTGTACGCGCTCGGGTCCCTACCTAAAAACGACCTTGTGTCATATCTCGTCCAATTGGAAGGAGTTAATACCGTGAGAAAGTGACTGTAAATGAGATGCCAGATTAGGACCTATCACATTGTATATTGAAATGTCTTTCTTTCCTACAAATAAAAAATAATAAATAATTAAAATGACATGAGGGATAATTTCTTATATTAACCAACAGGCGTACTGGTCAAAATCCCAAGTTGAATATGAAGCAAAAAGCATATTACAATTAAATAACTCTTTCGTTCTTCTTTTCTCGGTTGTAACCATCTAGATCTGGCTGCAAGTCCAGAGCATGCGCTGTGACACTTGTTAGCGTCACACACCGTTAAGCTTTCCGCCTGCGTATTAACACAGTTGAAAAAATCTCTCGCCTTAGTTACTTATTAATGGTCGTAAGATAAAGAGATTAGAGAAAAAGAGGTGAGGTGTTTCTTACGCAGTAAAAATTAGTCTTGCTGAAAAATGGGTGTGTCTTTTGAGATTGTGTAATTTATAAGCAGTAAAAGGCGAGGTTCCTAGTAAGGTGATGGAGTTTTGCTTTTTTAAAACTCGTAAAACGTAATGGGATCTGTATTCAAAACTTTTCACGAAGACAGAAACGACAACCTGCGGCTTCTTGGAGCGGCATTAAAATTATTTGTCTTGTAACAAAAAACCTCTTGCTTTTCTATTTAATACGCCTTTCAATTGATCTTTATTCCAATAATATTTCTGTAATTGTTCGCTTGCTCAGCATTATCCTCCTAAGTTTTGTTTTGGGTCAAGACAACGAATATGGGTCACTCAGTGAGCAACAACCTTCTTAAACTTTGTCGGACCACAAATTCTCTTCGTTTTTTTTTTTTGTTTTTTTTTTTGTTTTTTTTTTATTCCGGCCGATCGATTCTTCAGTCACCTTCTGGCATCAAATACACAGTCACCTCAATCAAGAAGTAAACTAAGATTATCGCCATTTGCGCTCATGATGTACTAAATCTTCAGGCTAACATTCTGAGTATTAAAGCTTAGTTGTAGATGACCATATCATGAGAAAGCAAAACGTAATAAGATTCACAGGTTTTACATAATTTGAAAAGTTGCTGGGAATGACAAACTACTGGTCAGAACTCTGACGACCCGAACAGAGTGGGGGGGATTTGAATCTTGTAAGCGTGAAAATCTGACTATGATAGATTGCTTTTCACATAACACCAAAATGGCGCAAGGAAACGCAGACGACTAAAAGAATTAGAAGCATCATCAGACCTGGCCGTAGAAAATTTCAGCAAGTGACAAAGAGAATTTGGCTACTGTTGATTCATGTCTTTCCCAAAGTGTGACCAGAATCAAAAATACCTAAAACAGAATTATATATATATACATATACTCGACTCTCCCGTCGAATTCGACGTATGAGGGTCAAGCAGATTAGTTGCAAGGAAACTTACAGCCAGACAACAGCACATGAGATTTGATTATAGTGGTGAAGGTTTCGTGCAGGACCATCCACACTTCTTGAAGGATCGAATACAGAGACCTGGTGCACTACGTGCCACAAGGTCCCCAAACAACCCTCCGCAGGTTTTGAATTCAGAGTTGTCCTTCCCCTAGACCAGTATTCCACCAAAGGCTATGAATCCAGTCTGTCCTGCTATTTACCCATGGCTGGAGGGAGAAGAATAGGATTCATACCTAGAGTATTACCACGTAAGTGATTGTAATAGATTCGACTGGAATACGAACTCGGCTCTTCGATTTCTCCATAACCCCACCGTTCCTCATTATATATATATATATATATATATATATATATATATATATATATATATATATATATATACATATAAATAAAAATACATACAATATATATATATGTGTATGTGTGTATGTGCGTGCGTGTGTGTATGCATTATAAATAAAAACAAAAGAAAATTTGTTTGTCACAAACGCGGTTCCTCTACTGAGATATTTACCGTGATAAAATCCCACATGGGACGAAATTCGTTTGTAATGAAAAGGTTTCCTTTTCTCTTTATTCTCATATATATATATATATATATATATATATATATATAATGAAAGGCTCAAACACTAATATTCCGTGGTTATAATTTATTACATTGTAATCACGATCCAAATCATAAGACCTACAAATTCAAAAATTCCAATATACATACATACATACATATATATATATATATATATATATATATATATATATATATATATATATATATATATATATATATATGTGTGTGTGTGTGTGTGTGTGTGTGTGTGTGTGTGTGTGTGTGTAATTCTGACAGAGATGGATTGCATACAAGACCATAAATGCTCAAGTACCCTTAGACGGCAACAAGAATTAGAAGCGTCAATAGGTATCGGCGCACCTAGATTCCAAGCAGCAGAAATGCATCAAGTTGTGTTGAGGATTTGGACAACTGGCTGACATGCGTCCTCTCTCTCTCTCTTTCTCTTCTTTCTATAAATGACGCAACGAATATTGTCCCGGAATAAAATGAGTAAAAGAAAATTGTCTTTCCCAAAATGCGATCAGAATACAAAACACAGAATTATATATATATATATATATATATATATATATATATATATATAAGTCAAGTTTGAATATATCTAATTTGTGGTCTATGTGTGCAATTCCTACGTAATAATTACAACAAAATGCTAAACCTTTTAA